TACAATTGAGTTTGCCTACTTAATTTCCTTACCTTTCCCCATGAACTTTGGTTTGGCCTTGAACAGCAGCAATACACGCACCTGTGTGGTGTTTCCACCCAGCAGATCTCAGCCTGCTTCTTGCAAACGTCCCTTCGGTTGAAAGTTAAGTATGGTAGCGCAATCCCCGCTACAGGACAGTGAGGGAAGTGTCTTGAGGAATAGGGAGTGGGAACAGCAATATGAAAGCCCCCCCGGAGGTATCTTTAAGGAAAGACATCACATATGACAGAATTTCAAAGAAGTCCTGCATGCCGTCCGCCTCTCCAGCTCATTGGATCTTCTGCGTAAATCACAGTGGGTGGTGGAGCTGAGGGGATGTAGCAGGTCTGCTGGCTAGACTTGGAAGAAAAAAGAGACACTGTACGAAGCTGTGTTACATATGTCTTTAAATGCTTTGTCCGCAAGAAGCGAGTGATCATACGTAGATTGAACATAAGGTGGTCGTGCTAGCCTATACAGAAGATAAAAAAAGCTGAAAACAGAGATTCATGATACTAAAGGGAGCATTTGTGTGCGTCCCCTTGCCCAGAACCCTAAGCCTTCCAGCAATCTGCCCATTCCCGCCTGCAGGCACAGGGATATTAAATGGGCCTGAAACAGATTTTCCTCCCCAGCGCACAGAACAGGAATCGCCTTCCCGAATCAGAGCCAAGTCCCGGCACGGCCCCCACCAGAGCCACGGCCCGCAGGGCAGGCCAGACCGCGCAGGGCTGCGCTGGGTTTCCGTGGCGTGGGTTTGTTGGCAGTGGGGGAGCCGTGGCCCCTCTGAGAAGCTTCTCGAAGCTCCCCCGGCTCCAAATCGGCCCCACCTCTGGCCAGCGCCGAGCCCATCAGCTGCACCTCTGCGATAAGGTATTTAACAAGGGGAACCTGAGAGAGGGCAGGGACTTGTGAAAAGGAATTGGGAGAAGGATGGACACCGAGATCAGTGGAAGGAAGGAGGAGGCTGTGGGAGAGGTGCGGCCGGAGCAGAGACCCCGGTGCCCCATGGCGAGGCGGCAGGGCCCCCCCCCTGCCACCCCTGGAGGGCTGCGGCGGAGCAGAGGCCGACCTGAAGCCTGAGGAGAAAGCCGCTCAAGGACGGGTGTCTGTGCTTAAAGGAGGCCGGGACTCTGAGGGGAGAAGCGGCCCCCGCTGTTGTGGTTCGGCGCTGGGAGAACGGCAACGCGCGGGGGGGACCCACGCTGGAGTAGCTTGGGAACGGCCGCGGCCCGTGGGGAGGACTCGCTGTGGAGAAGGTTCCTGGAGGGCTGTCTGCAGTGAGAGGGGAGCCCCGGGGAGCAGGCGGGGATGTGTGGCGGTCACCCCCCATCCCGAGAAGGAAGGAGCAGGAGCTGGCTGTAACCCCCATCCCCTGCCCCCTGCGCCGCTGGGGGAGGAGGGAGAGACACTGGGAGCAGAGCTGAGTCTGGATAGAAGGGAGGGGTGGGGGAGATGGTTTTTGGATGAGGTGGCACCTCTCATTGTCCCACCTTGTCTGTTAAGTGTTGGTTTTGTTAATGTTTGAATTAAAGTGATGTTCTTTTTTAATTCCCCTAAAGAGTCTGTCTTTTGCCTGTAACTATAATGGGTGAGGCACTCCTCCCTGTCCTTATCTAGATTCCCAAGCCTTTTGCTTTATTTTCTCCTTTATGTTCCTGAGGGGGAAGGGGTGAGTGAATAGCTGCGTGGTGCTCAGTTGCCCTCTGTGCTCAAACCTCAACAGGGGCCAAAGGGGACGGCTCCTCTTCCTCGCTCAGAGCACGCTCTGCTCCCTTACTTCAGAAAGATCCCAACACCACTTTTTGAACTGCTAACGTATATATGTGCCCACCTGCAAGGTTTCCATCTCCAAGAGCAATAGGGAGGACACATGGTCCCCAAATACAGTGCTGTCCACAGAGAAGTCAAGCGTGGAAATGCCATTTGTTGAGATCAGTGGGAGGCTGCTCTGGACGTAACCACTATTTCACCTTTTGGGGTTTTATGCCATTCTTTGCTAATCATGCTAAATAATGCATTCTGAAGCTCATATCACACAGTACACAATATCTCTAGAGAGAATTAAGACTGTGAAGGCCACCAAGTTTTTCTAGTCCTCTCCTCCAGTGGCATATTTCCATCAAGATTTCAGTATCTCTAGCTGTGTGGATGCCTTTCAGCTGCCCAGAATATTTAGAGCAGTTCTCTGCTCTGCAGTTCTTTGCTGAGCACCGGGAACCACTTTTGTGAGCTCCAGGCTTCCTCCCTGCAGCTCAGCCAACAGCCATTGGAACTACATTGATTCTAAATGTGTGGGTCACTGTCTCGTCCCACTGGGTGGGTTACGAGGGGGGGGTGAATCTTTTTAATTCCCCAGGGGTCTGCGTAGTGGGGGGACAAGGTGGACAATCCTGTCTCTGCTCAGCAGAGCTGTAGGGTGGGGTTGACTCCATGACAATGACTCAGAGGAGCAATTTAGCTGTTACCTTTATTAACTGATAGTTTGAGTGAGTGAAGTGAGACAATTTGTCAACAATCAACTGATAACCTTCCATGAATGAATAAAGGCACTAAGAGACTATTTTCCTAACAACCCGTCCCAATTTGTACAAAACTTATATACCTGAATATATGTAAGAAGGAGATTGAGAGAGAAAGATAAAAGAGAAGAAGGGGGAATAGGAAAAGGGGAATCACCACGCTTTGGATCCTGTGTTGTTGTAGAGTAGCAAGCTTGATCCGTAGGTGGTGGGTCAACAAAAACACAGGTGGGGATGTCATCTTTTTATAGTCTTTTTTACACCTGTGCAATCAGGAATTCCAGAAGGTTCTCATTTTCTTTGGCTTGCCCCAGCACAGCTGGGCAAGTTCTGTCTCCAGGCAGCAACACCAGGGAGAGAGAGGGAAAGGACCCACCCCCCCACCTCCACAGATCTTGCCCTGCTTCCACCCCCCACAAGCCATCCCACTCGAGTTGTCTGAGACTTTCGAACAGTTCCCATTTTTTTTTTTTTTTTTTTACGAACAGTTTATGACAATTATCAGCATGACTAGCAACTAACAGCAGTGTCTGGGATGCTGCTTGTGGCGTATGATGCTGAGCAGCCCAGCCCAGATGTGCTGGCTCTTCCTGCCCTTCCCAGCTGTGTCTCCAGAGACAAGGAGTGTTGCTCGACACAGCGTGGCTCTCTTGGAGCAGGAAAAAGTTAAAGGGGCTACGGGCAGACTGTAACCCCAATATCACCCTCTAGGTCATTTCTATTGCTGTGCCTTCATCTCAACAACACTCTGAAATAGGGCAGAGCTGCTCAAAGTGTGTGTGGGGGGTGTGGAGGGGTGTGGGGATACATAGTGGGTGGTTTTTTTCAGTTTTTTGTGGTTTTTTTTTGTTTTTTTTTTTTTTACAAGGACATGAGAAAGCTGGTGTGGAGCTTTGATGCTGGGAGCCGGGTTCTGTTTAGATAATGGCTCATTTGCAAAGAGAAATTTTGTTCTGAAATAGAATGTGGGAAGATTTTTTTTTTTTTTTTTTTAAGTTAGTATGAGTTAAATGGGTTGGAATGGCTTTGATGTTTTACCAATAATAAGGACATTTTGTTACTTTAATCATTTTGGAATGGAAACTGTACACGTGTAAGTAAGAAAACATCAACATGAGATGACTTACTGAAAAGAAAGTGTTTTTTTGAATACCTTTCCAGAATTAAATGTTGTCCAAGCAGCATTTTTAACAGAGTTTTAATATCAAGGATGTTAAAACTCACTTTGGTGACAATTTTCTGATTTCCTCTAGCCAACATTTTGCTTTCAGAAAAAGCTGCTTACCTCTGGTTCTGCTCCTGCAAAAGGATAACTGGAGGGTTTTGGCTGCAAACAGTTGAAGACCCCCCCATCCGTGCCACCACACCGAGCCCAGGACTTCAGCCGGTGCCAGGCAGTGACCCGTCCCCGGGCAGCAGGCTCACCTCTGCTGGGACACTGTGTCACACTGTCCCTGGTAGTGTGCTGACACGGGCTGTTCCTTACTAAATATGTATTCTGGCTGGGCTTTTCTGATTTTTTTTTTTTTTTTTTCAAGGAGATGGTTGCACAGAATCCCAGTTAGTTAAATCACAGGCTCTTGCTTACTAAATATGTGTTCTGGGCAGACTTTTCTGATTTCTTTTTTTTCAAGGATATTTTTGCACTGAATTATATTTATTTAGGTAATTAGTTAAACCGCAGGCTCTTGCTTACTAAACGTGTGTTCTGGGTGGACTTTTCTGAATTATTTTTGTTCAAGGATATTTTTGTACTGAATTATACTTATTTAGGTAATTAGTTAAACCGCAGGCTGTTGCTTATTAAATATGTATTCTGTGCTGACTTTTCTGATTTTTTTTCAAGGATATATTTGTACTGAATTCTATCTATCTATCTATCTATCTATCTATCTATCTATCTATCTATCTATCTATCTATATATCTATCTATCTATCTATCTATCTATCATCTATCTATCATCTATCTATCTATCTAATCTATCTAATCTAATCTGTCTGTCTACCTATTTATTTTAATAAAGGTTTACTCTGTCCAGGACGTGAAAGGGGAAAAAAAAACCAACCAACCAAACAAAAAAAAACCCAACAAAACCCAAAACCAACCAACCAACCCCCCCAAAAAACCCCAACAAACCAAAACGTTTTCAGTTCAAGCAAACAGAAAAGCGCGTGACGAGAATCAGTCCGCTTGAACCTGCCGAAAGGGTCAACGCGACAGAAACACCGGCGTGGGCCCCCCGCGCGGCGCGGAGCCCCCCGCGGCTGCTTCTTTAACCGCGTTTGGGACCGGAGCCGCTGCAGCCCCCCCCGCCGGCGATGCAGCCCCCGAGGTGAGCGGGGGGGGGGGGCGGCTTCGTGGGAGGACCCACCCCCCCCCCCCTCCAACAAGCCCCGTTCCCGGCGGCCGCCCCCGCCCCTCCCCGCCCCCGGGGGGCGGTGGGCGGGCTCGGCGGGGGCCGAGGGTCCCGCGGCAGAGGGTCCCGCCGCGCCGCTGCCCACGCCGCGCCGCTGCCCACGCCATGCTGCCGTTGTGCCTCCGGCCCGGGCGGCTGCTGGCCGCCCCCCCGCTCCGCCTGCCCGCCCCGCGGGGAGCGGGAGCTGCGGCCGCCGGCGGGGAGCCCACCCGCGACCCGGGCACCACCCGCGGTAAGTGCGGGGCCGGCTCCGAGGCGGCCCCGGGGGGGGGGGGGGGGCGGGAGGTTTTGGCGGCGGGCGGCAGGCTGGGCGCCGCGGGGGGGGGGGGGGGGACGGCATCGCGGGTGGGTACCCACAGCCGCCGGGTGCGGGGAGGGCGAGCCAGACCCGCGGAGACAACACCCTGCGTGCGTGGGCATTGAGGAGGCCGCGTGGAGAGAACTCTGCGTGGCGCGAAGCGTAAGCCCCGGGTTACTCTAACGACGGGTGGGGGTTTTTCCCCTCCCACGCGTTACTACCCCCCGACGTTCCCTCTTAGCGCGTGGTTTGATGAAGTGGGTTTTTTTTTTCCCTCCTCTTTAAGCTGAGCAGGCTCATAAGGTGGTTGCAAGTTACAAACCATCGACGTTCGACAAAAAAATCCTCCTCTGGACTGGGCGTTTCAAGACTGAAGAAGAGATTCCTTCGAGGATCCCGTAAGTGCCCCTGCTCTTGTCCAAGGGGAACGTGGAGCTGAAGGGAAAGTGACGGTGTGAGCCTGATGTAAAGCTTTTCCAGAAAGCTTGAATCAACACGGGAAACTTGGAAACGAATTTGAGGGCAAAAGAGTTTCCTGTCCTGGTTAGGGGTTAAGATGAAAAAATGTTCCTTACTGGGGTCCCCAGAGCCTGGGATTAAGAACTGGATCCATCTGAGTAGATAGTCTCGGTTATATTTATTTACTGGCTTGTTTATTTTGTTTATTCCTAACGTGCAGTCAAAGAAGGATGTTATTGGTAAACAATATTTTCTGTTTATGGTTCCCATAAACAGTTCTAAGGGAGCTGACTGTCGCCGAATGATTACATCCCACAAATTATGATTTATTAAAGAATTTGAGGGAAAACAGAGAAGGAAGTGATGAGAGAAACATCCCCCAGGAGGGAAAACCGAGTACTTGACATAGCCTTAGCCTCCCTTTCTTGCTGACCCCAGTGGTCTGGGTGAGCTTTGAAGGCCCCTTCCCACCCCAACCACGCTGATTCTGTGGTTCGCTGGCTCGCTGGAAGTTGGCGTCCCCGAGGGTCACTGAACACGTGGAACCCCTCTAATGCCCACTGCTGCCTTTTTTCTTGGGGCGTTGGGCAGCGTGTGAGACATCTCTCTCCAGGCCACGACTTCTTACCGCCGCCGTGCGTCCCGGTCCGGGGTGGAACGTCGAGCGCGCGCGGAGTCGGCAGTTCCGCGGGTGGCTGCGGAGCAGGACAGTGGCTTTCCCAACCGTCCAACCTCACTTGAGCGGTGTTAGTTCCACAATCTTCCCCTAGAGAAAGGTTGGGACAGGTCTCAGAAGCCCTTAAAAGCTGTGTCGGGAGGCGTTTATAAAGCCACAGGTGTTTTCCAGTCCCTGCCCATACACACACACACGCAAATCCCTCGCTCCTGTGCGGTAGCTGGCCCGGCAAGCGAGCCTCACCACTTTGTGCTCTCTGGGTGAGCAAAGTCGTTTGAGAGCAGTGAGATCATAAAAACACACTGGAAGAAGTTAATTGTGAGACGCTGAAGCTGGGCTGTGTCACTGCTTTATTTTTCAAAAAAAAAAAAAAAAAAAAATTACTGCAGGATAATTGCTACCTGTGAACAAGGTAGCTGCTGAAGATAGTTTGTGCTGAGGGTCGGATGTGCAGTCCTTCTTCAAGGTTGTTGTGGGGTTTTGTTGTTGTTGTTTTAAAACAGCCGCTACTGACTTCAGCAGAGGTTTACCCAGAGTCTTGATTAAGGATTGAGTAGCAAAGGCCCTAATGTGCAATTAGGGAAGAACATAATCAGGTCTGTTTTCCTTAAAGCCGAGGCAGAAAGCAGGGAGAAAGTGAAAATCTGCTTCAGAAGAGTATCAATTAGTGCACTGTGAAATATAATTAGGCTAATAGGACAGACTAATAACATTTATGGTTTTTTACCACAAATGGATTAGTGGATTAATGATTTTTATGTGCTAGTCCAACGGGCGGTTTGTTTTAAAGATGACGGTCGTGTACAACAAAAACAGCTGCTTAGAGCTGCCAGTCCTCTGCAAGAAACGTGGTGTGAGCTGGGCAAGGATGGTCCCTTGGCCCTTCCACCAGAGAAACTCCAGCTCTGCCCCATCCCGCTGCCCATCCTCTCTAAAGGAAAGCTACAGGTGTTTTTTTGGGGGGGCGGGGGGGGGGGAAGAGAATGTTTCGAGGTCCCTCCTCACAGCACACGTCAATTCTTTATGCAACTATCCTTTATATACATATATATGTATAAAATCATAACTGTGTATTATATTTGATATCTTACGAACAACACGCGTCAATTCTTTATGCAACTATCCTTTATATACATATATATGCATAAAACCATAACTGTGTATTATATTTATATTTGATATCTTACGAATATGCCTTCATACAGCACTCCCTTACGAAAGGGGAACAGTGCGCAGCCAGCACCTGAACGTCTGAAAAACAAACATCTGAAAACTGTACAAGCTAACGAAAAATCTTAAAAAAAACTGCCTAAACTCCCAAGTATAATGCCCGGGTGGGAGAAAGACTGGGCTGAAAGTCCCAAGGGCAGCGTGGCAGGGAGGGGCAGGGCAGAGCTTTTCACTGCTTCTGCCCCTGACGCCCCGCAAACCCGACCACGCAGCTCGGCCTCGAGGGGCGCGTTCCCGTAACGGGGAGAAGGCTGACAGCAGCTGCTGCTCGGCTAAAGAGCTAAAACCCCTTAACTCGGGGCACTGCAAACTCTTTTTAATCACCTATCCACGTATGCAGGCCCCAGGCTATAGTATACAGGGCACCACCTGAAGCCGTTAGTTATGACAGTGATAACTTTCTAAAGTTAATTTTGAATAGGAGGAAGTTGCTCTCACTACATCTGGGTGACACCACCTCTACTTCTCCATCTGTTTAAAATAGACAAAACCTTTTCTTTATTTAAACATAGTAAAAGAGCTTAAGGTATGATTTCTGGTGTATTTACCCCAAGTACTTAAATGCAAGTATTTATTGCATGAGCAACTTTTCATTTTTTTTTCATTTTTTTTTTTCCCCAGCTTAAAAATAAAAAAATATCAGCTTAAATCCATTAAATGTTGCTTTTCCATTGGGAAGGGGTCAGGGCTGGAAAACGCCAAGTTCTTGGGTGGCCCATAACCAATCACAGCAAGCTGAAGATGCTGGTTTTAGAAGTTAATTCTATTTTTATTTTTCAATTGTGCTGTCGTATCTGCGCTGTTTTCGAAGAAGAGCTACTTCAGGGGCTTGTGACGATTCAATTACCTTTAACTGCAGGCCGGAGATGCTAGACAGGGCGAGAAACAAAGCTCGAGTTAAAGCTTGTTACATCATGATTGGACTTTCGATTGTTGCCTGTTTTGCGGTGATCGCCTCGGCTAAGAAGGTGAGTAGGGGCGCTGGCTGGTTATCCCATCACCTAGTTAACCGTGACGAAATTCTGTGGAAAAACAAGACGGGGGCCCACCCCTCCCCTCCTTCCAGCTAACGTCTGTTCCCCAGGTGGGGCACTTGGCCCCCCCTGGCTGCGTTGTTACTCCTGCAAAGTGGATTTTTTTTTTTTTTTTTTTTCCCTCCGCAGGCCGCTGCGCGGCACGAGTCCTTAACAAGCTGGAACTTGGCGAAGAAGGCCAAGTGGCGCAGGGAGGCGGCGCTGGCGGCGGAGTCGAAGACGAAGTAACCGCAGCTGGGTCCTCGGAGGAGCAAAATTAACTGGGGCCGAGAGCCAGCAGTGAAATTTCACCCCTAATTGTAGCGTTAACCGCGCGGGAGCCACCGAGGGCACGTACCGGATCACAAAAAGAAACGGCAAGTCTCTCTCCCCGGAGGGATCCCAGATGTACCTGTTGCCTGTAATTACCATGAGCTTGAGTGTTTTGCGTGCGATTACAAGCAGTAATTAATTTCAAAGGAGAGGAGGTGGGGCCCGAAGGGCAGCAGGTACGGCCGCTCGGGTATTTACAACGCACGTTTAAACCCCACGTTTTCCGGCTGGCGGCGGCGCGGAGTTTTCCGGCGCACAGGTCCACCCGCTTGAATTCGTTTCCCTCACCCAAAACGGCATTCACATTCATGAGCTTGCAGAACCCGCTAAATAAATACAATAAGCGTCTGTAAAATAGGTTTTATTGGTTTCTGTATGGTGGTTGGAGATTTAACATTCCATAATATTGCATACCACTCCTGCGTTCCGTTACAGTAAGAGGCCTTTGGCCTGGATTTAAAGATGCACTATCACTATCTGAAGTTAGTACAGGTATTTTAGTTCCCACGCGTTATATGCAGATATTGTGCTGTAAGTAACTGAAAGTTCTCATTCCAGAGTTCAGTGAACTCTTGAGGTCACAGTTAAGCTTCACGTATCAATTGGCAAACCTGTGGCAAAATTCCTCAGTTGTACAATTTAATAAATTTAAACCAACTGAGAACTAACCGTGGAGGAAAGACAATAGTGCATCTTTTCTCTTTTTTTATTTTTTTTATTTTTTTTATTTTTTTTTTTTTTAAAGACAGACCCGACAATAAATATCTTCCAGTTGCAAACTTGTTCTACAGCTAACTTATTTCTGTGCCAACATTATTACTATTTTCTGATTGCTACTAGCAACAGTGTTTAAAGCAAAGAGTAGAAAATTAAAAAGCTGTATGAACCCGTCCTCGGACAAAAGTGCAACAATGAAAAAATTGGATATGATTCAGTGTATCAAGAGTAGGGAACTAAAAAACAAAATCTTATGCTTTGCATAGTTGCATAGATTAGCTAGTTAGTATTCACATTTAAGCAGAACAAATGGTACCCTTTTAGTTAAAAGCAAAACTGCAGAAACCAAAGCCCTCTATTTTTAAAGACTTTGTAACTGATGGGCACTTCAGATGCCATGTAAAATACCAAACTTAAAGAGGTTTTCTTCTCAGGCTTTTTTTTTTTTTTTTTTATTCCCCACACTGGTTTCAGCTGTTTAGGCAACATCATCTTATTCACAGCCCTACCTGCAAATGACTACCCCGGAGGGGACCGTGAGTCATCAGCTCTGGTTTTATACTGTTCGTTTATCTGCTTTTAATGAAGTGTGATGTAAACCCAGTGATAAAAGAGGAGGCCATCCCCTACGATTATCCTTTAAAGAAGGATCTTCGTTATTATTTTTTAACAATTTCAGGGTAAACCAAATGTTGAGTTTAAATAATGATTTTCATTAGCCAAAGTCCGTCAATTTTAGTTCCCTTTTAAACCGTTACATTTAAATGCATGAGGCATGAAATACAGTTTATCTAAATGTGTAAAGTGCAGTCACTAACCATTCACACATATAGAATAATATATCCACAAAACTGAAGACATTCTTTCAAAACAAATATAATACTTTAAATGTCCCCTCTTTTTCTTCATTTTCAAGTCTTTTAATCGAGATTTGTATAGTTCAGATTTGGTTTCAATTAGAGAGGCTTATAAATGCAGTTTTTACAGGGTTCTCCAAATAAAAAGCAGGCACAGCTGGTTATGTTATCAAAACAAGGTTGTTAGAAACCATGGAATACCCTGTTACCTGAATAATTTTCTTACACTAGAAGAACATTGAAATTCAGCATTTGCTAGTAATCCTGGTAGTTTTTCATGATTGTTACCCTGTACTTTGAACAGACTGGGAGGGGAGGGAAGAAGGAAGGTCAGTATATGAAAACCTAAAACTATGAGAATAAAAAGGGCACAAATACCATCATTGAACGTTATATGAAAATTTGGCAGCTGTACTCAATATTATCACACTATTCAAAACTGTTGTATGCTGTACAAATCTAGGTTTAAAGTGTCATTTGCTAAAATATCTCATTATTCAGAGGTTCATAAAGTAACAGCACTCCTATATACACATCTTGCACTTCTATCTTCCACTAAAAAGACTTCAAAAAGAGGTTTCTTCCCTCCCAGTTACATCTTAGTCAAAACTTGACCATTAATCTTAGAAAATCCACTTCAAGTCCCACATTCAATTACAATATAGTATATATTGCTGTAACATCAAAGTGAAACATCTGAGAATCTGAACTTGCATGTAAAAAAAATTCTAAATATAAAATGGTACTGTAAGTGATACCACCTTTAACCTGTATTTCTCAGTGCATTAAAATATTGTTTACTGACAAGCACAGTGCCATGGGGTAAGTAATTTGAAGTTTAAACTGCAGCTTTTGATGAAGCATGAAATGCTCCCGTATATCAAGGATTTCACTTAACCCAGGAGTCTGATGTTAATACACTAACTACAGGTAATAAAAAATAATCATACTTCAGAGTTAACCCAAAGTATCAATTTCGCCAAATGAAATCTACTACTAATACACCAGAAACACTACTTATATGCAAGTCGAAGCAGAGCATACATTTTTCTGTATTCAAAACTGTTAATGCAAATACTAGAATTCTATTTCCTTTAGTGTTTAACAGCAAACACCGTATGTTGTAGAGCCTAAATATTTAGATGACGGTAACTTCTAGTTAATTTTGGTGTCCACGTAATGCTATTTACAGTACCACAAGCTTTTCCTTCAACTGGAGTGATTCACCATTCATTCTTTACTGCAGTATTTCTGTTGTCTCACCGAGAGACGATCGCGTTAGGTAACTTCCAGAACAATTCAAGGGGTAGTAGCGTATCTGGTCAAAAAAATAACACCCGCTGTCTAAACTTTTAAGAAGCTACTGTACCAGAAAGGCAAGCGTTGCAATGTTTCCCAAACTCAAGTGGTGTTACCACGGTTTGACAGGAGGCAGCTGGAGACCCATCTGCTGGGTGACTTGTGCAAACCACCGTCTCTGTCACTCCCAAGTGCAGCACTCGTGGGGTGACTGCAGCAACTGCTTCCGCCTCAGCGTGCGGCGTTTGTGGCTGACCTTTAATGCCACTGAGCAGCTTTCATTGCAGAGCCAACATCAAATGACCAGCAAGCTCTCTGCTGATTCCAATCTGAAAACCTCTGAAATAGTCCTCTTTCCATATAATTATGAAAAAGCTTTTTCATATATTCAATATTAGGTAATTAGCATTATATATGTATCTCTATTATGCCTTTAAATACATTTTACAAATAAATTCCAACAGTGTGTTGTATAGTAATGCATTAAAGTTTCACAATTTAAATAAATATTTTTCACATTCCAATTCAGCTTCTTACAAGCTCATCTTTATTTCATGCCTTAGTTCTGAAGCAATGTTTCTGCTTCAATACAAGAGGTAGATTTGATAGAGACTGGGCAAGTCGAGCCTACTGCCAAAAATGCAACTGTCAGTAACTGTATTGCTGATATGCAGTTTGAGACTACATGAAAATTTCAGAACCACTACCTAAAATCCTACCAAGTCTTAGCTTAACAGTTCTTGTTAAATCACATTTAATGCTTTCCCTTAGACATGATTACTCACAGTTGTTTCCTGTACATAAGAGATAATGAAAAACACAAACACAAAACAAAGAACAGTTGTAACAACGCAATATATAAAAGTGCATGAGCTGCTGCTTCATCTATTTCTGCAAAACATACTCAACTTTTCATCTAACTTTGGCCATAAAGGAGAGACCTCTGGGGAAAAAAAAAAAAAAAAACAACCCCAAACCCTACAAGTGTTGAGATTTTATGCCTGTCTTCGCTTCAGTCGTTTACAGCTGAAACCCCTCCATTGGAGCCTCCTGCTGCTGAAACACAAACTGCTGCTGACTTTCATCCACCTGAGGTGCAATAGTCGAGTCCTCTTCTTCGACACCAAAGTAATGCTCTATGAGTTCAAAAGCCTTTTGGTATATCTCTTGGTTTTCATGCCTCTGAAGAAATTCGATTTTATCAAGTCCTAAATTCAAAACAAAACATTTTGAAAACCTAGTTGCTTAAATGAGTAATGAATTCGAAGGGAAACAGCTTACAGTCTAGTTTATAATACAGTGGTACTTCTTAGATAAAAAAATGCAATCCCAAATAATCTCAATTTATTTGTTATCATTGATTCTGAATTTCCTATCCCATGTATTTCTGGTCTACATTTTCTGCTGTCCAAACTAATTTTAAAACTATGCTCAGAGAATATTAACTAAATAAGGAGGAGGCAGCTGTAGTATCTACAAAGAAATACGCCATGCCCACAAAGAAATTGAATCTATTTAGAATTAGCACAAAATAAAACTGTTTGCTATAGCAATTACCTACATCCCCATTTCTTTTTTTTTTTTAATCTTTCAGTCTTCCCAGCTCTGAATTCTATCCTCTATTATGGAGTCATCACTGGGCACAGTCTGGTACCTTCTTTCAAATTTAAAGATTTGGAGATAAGGCTTATCATTTGCAAGCTAGAGGGCATAACCCCTGCTCTCCTGCAGAATTAAGTGCTTGGCAGTCAGTCAGGCTGACTCAAAAATCCTTTTTAGCTAATGATGATAACTCAGTTTTCACTTAATTTGGGTTACAAAGAGCTCCTATGAACTCTTGTGGTGACTACAAAGGCCAAAGCAATGAGGGTGATATAATTAGCTGTTTTCCCTACATGAACTTACGTGCTACAGCTTCAGCAGCCTACGCTTAACTGGCAAAGGAAAAGAAGAACCTAGGTGCTCAATAGTTGAAATTATGAACGGACTCACAACCTGCAACAGGATAAATTCCATTAAAGTACTCAGTACTTATTCCTCTTACATGTTGGATTGCAAAGTAACTTCTCCAAGTGTGCACTTGATTTTAGAAACAAAATTCTGTAACAGGGAACTCAGATTTAAAGGCTGTGTTACAGAAAAGTTCGTACCATCTAATCAGATATAACGTGGTCAACTAGCATTGTTATTAGCACTTTCTGAAATGCAAATGTCTGCCATTTTTGTTTTGTCAGAGCGACAAAAAGATAACCCTCCATAAATAATGCCAGATTCATTATCAGGCAGTTTTAACATTTTGTTAAATCGGAAGCGTCTAGTCATGAAATTCTACAAATTGTCATTTCAGTTTTGATACTCCGCCTTTAAAATGTGGTTTAATTCAACAGCTCTTAAGTAATTGAACAAAATACTTTCACAAAATAAGTACAAACTTATTTAATGTTATGATCTGAAGCTGATTTTGCTGTTACTGATGCTTACT